TAGGGAGGGCTTTATTGTACCAATAAGGTGGCATCCATTTAATAATTAAAATTAAAATTATAATTTACACTCGATACGTTATTATTGCATACTGTTTTATAATGTACTACAATACTGAAGTGCAGATAATTGCCACTATTTGCAACAAGTAGTATACTTGATAGTAGAAATCCTACTATTTTAAAATAGTGTAACTAGGTATTTGCACTTAGTGTAAATAGTATATTGCTAAAAATACTGCTATTTTCACTTAGTGTAAATAGAATCCATTGCTAATACGAGATTTGAAAAGGGAGGAAAAAAAAGTTCGGCAAAAGACGGGATCGAACCCGGGTCGATCGCGTCAAAAAGCCAAGGACACGCGCTTATCCATCTGCACCACTGGAGCTGATGAGTCACATACACTTTTAACTAAATGTAAATAGATACCCCGTATTTTTTATTCCATAGTAAGGGCAATTCAGACAATACATTTAAACTGAGCTACTTTAATACCATCTCCGAACTTTCTACCACGACTCTGCTGTTCTTCGGCTGGTTCTTCCCTGTATACGTTGATTGACAGATGTCTCTTCCAGTCAGCGGTGAGTAATCCTAAACCAATGGCGCTGTCTCAAACTATACCTACCTCTTCCGGTTTGTCTGATTTGTCGTTGTGTTTTCTGACTTGTTAATTTGTTTTCGGATTTGTCGTTGTGTTTTCTGACTTGTTATTTTGTTTTCGAATTTGTCATTGTGTTTTCTGACTTGTTATAATGTTTTATGAATTGTTGTTGTGTTTTCTGAATTGTGATTTGTTTAGCACTTCTCGGCCACCGTATGTAATAGTCCAATTGCTGCTGCATTTCAAAAGTGAAATCGCCCATTTTTGCTTGATCATCTTCTGATATTGTGATTGGCGCATAAGAACTTTACTCACACAGAGGGAGTGGCTGATTGGCTGGATGGGAGGGAAATGGGCGGGTTCTCTCCCTCTTCATGACCCAGTTTTGGTGAGTTGGGTGCAGAAGAGTCTGGAGTGGCGATCTCTTCAATATCAGAGTACATGGAGCCATCTTTAGCGCCCTTCTTAATGCTGAACGCCTTGCCAAAAGAACTTCGTAACTACAGAGAAACCGAGAGAAAGACAGAACTTAAAATACACTGAAGTACTTCACAAATACAAGTGGAAATGTTTATTCTGATTTTGTATTAATTTAAAGTTTATTAATTTACACTACTGTTCTAAAGTTCAAATGTAAAATACGTCTTATTTGATAAAAAATATAGTAAAAACAGTAATATTCTGAAATATTATTACAATTTAAAATAACTGCTCTATTTTAATATATTTTCAAATGTTATTTATTCCTGTGATGCAAAGCTGAATTACTTCAGTCTTCAGTGTCACATGATCCTTCAGAAATCACTTTAATATGCTGATTTGATGCTCAAGAAACATTTCTTATCAATATTAAAAATAGAACATTCAAAAAACAGCATTTATTGTAAATGGAAATCTTTTGTAAAATTATTCATGTCTATACTGTCACTTTTGATCAATTTATTGCATCTTTGCGGAATAAAAGTATTAATTTCTATCAAAAAAAGTTACTGACTCCAAATAGCAGTAGTGCATATTCATATTAAACTATTTTTGCAGATTGAAACTATTATTGAGAAAAACTGTTAAAAAGTTTTGGGGAAAAAAAAAAAATAATAAAATAAAAAATAAAAATATATATATACATATATTATTTTTTTTTGTTTTGTTTTATTTATACAAATTATATAATATATATATATATATATATATATATATATATAAATTTAAACTTTAAACTGGACACAAGTGCCACTGTGCTCTTTAATTCAAGGATTTTACATTCTGCAAATCTCCCTACTTTATCAAGTGTCAAATTCAAGTACTTTGTATGGAGATACTTCAAGCACAAAGGGACAGAAAGAACAGCACAAGAGAAAAGGACAGATGATTTTTTAACAAGGGCACTTGAAACACTCGGGTGGATTGTTGGTGTGGATAGTTATACGTGATGCATTCATTCCTATAAAAGAGCTTACAGCCACAAAAAAATAAAACAGGTAAAATACCAAAGAACTGTAACAGATTATTTCAACATGCAAAGTGATCTGTCTCTACGTGCCAGAGTTATTGTGAGTGTTCAGCTGCAGCTTCATTCTTGTTTGTTTTCTTCTTCTTCCGTCATAGCCATATGAGACATTCACAGTGTTTCCACATGTTTACAGTATTAGTAAAATAGCATTCTAGAGGGAATTCACCAAGAAAAAATGGAGCCCACTGATTGTTACTTACACCACTTTATAAATTGTTGAAATGCCTGATGCGCTAAAGTAATTAATGCAATTCATGTCATGGCACATTTGCATAATCTTGTGGGTCCCCATCAGTTCTTAGGAGCTGGTTACAGGTGTGAAAAAAGGGTTTTGCACTAAAAATACCATGTGTTAACTAAAGGTCGACCAATATGGATTTTGAATGGCCGATTTGTATATATTGCAGAGTAGGTTGGCCAAAGTCCGATATAGCCCTATATCATTTTAAATATGGTAATGATATTGCATTTAAATATTGTAAAAATTACATGCATAACTTTTTTTTTTCAAAGAAATGTATATATGTTTTACATAACATTTACTAAAATCTGAAATAATTAAAATATATTTTAATTTGATAAATCTGTCAAATTAAATTTATAGTTTATAGCATCCTCTGTAGACTTATAGTATTTCATAAAGAAGAAAAAAAAACACAAAGCAAACTCTGTAACCAATGGTGCATTCAGTAATCTGGTAAGTCATATTTTCTCAAATAAAGACCGAATAAAGGCAATTTCACACACAATACACAGTGAATACGGCATGAATATGCTGTCAAAATAAAAGTCCTGCTCTCAATACTTATTGACCAAACAGAAAAAGAAACATAATGGCTGATGCCATTATGGTGATATATCGGTGCTCTCTGCTTAGTGAATTCACCCCTTAACATTTGTAACACATAACATTTTACACATATGAAAGTATAAGCAACAGTGACTGTCAGAGGAGCTGCGCCGATGAAAACTTGAGGACACGGAGATTTGCAGAGTGGTTAGAAACAACACATGATGACATGAGAGGATAAACTTACCTCATAGACCTTAGAGATTTACAAAAGAAGAAGAATAGGTGAAAACCATGGTTATGCACTAGCAGATAATACCAGTCACTATAATTCCATCTTAGGCTCTTTTTTCCGCTTACCCAGTTCTTTTTCTTCTTCTTCTTGGCGTCGTCTTTCAGGCTGCCCACACTGGAGTGGCTGGTAATGCTGTTCAGACTAGAGATGCTCTCGGATGAGTTCTGCCTCCTGATTCGCAACTCTGAAAGAAGGAATAAAGAACATTTGTCTGGTAATATTCATTGTATATTGAGCTAAAACTCCATTTGAGGTGCATGTTCGCGGTCTTCACCTTTGGGGGCCACATCTGGGTTATTGAGTGCCACATGGATGACGGCCTGCGCCTCCATGTTCTTGGTCTTAAGGTTGTCGATTGTTTCTCTAAGGTCCAGTAATTCACTGTCCTACAGAGACAAAAAACCCCAGATGTGTTTAGTCTGTGCTCATCCATTTAAAGCATAAACACTGAAACAGCATTCCCCAAAGCGCTGCTACTGACGGTTTTCCAAACAAATGTAGGTTCACTTCTGCTTTGCGCAATGATTTACTGCCTGCACTTGACCAATGGCATTTACGACAGACGAAGCCACAGGGACGTCTACAAAAGCTCCTCCAGCTGTGCATCACTGGTACCTCAACATCATTTGCTTTCTCTGAATCACTCAAACAATCTGTAGGGTCACAGTCACTGGAATGAAACAGTGAATCCGGGTCACTGCCTCTAGACCGGCTGCCTCTTTTACAGAGGGCAATGTGGCATGAAAGTCAGCGTTTCATTTCTAAAACCTCCTGCGTTAATTTAGCCAAAGGCAAATCATGAAGTTGAAAATTTGGAGTATGGCACAGATAGCCCAGTGACCCTTTGTGAGTAAATGAAAAGCCAGCAACCCCCAACATCCATTCAGCCCTAATTTGACCCATATTTGCTCTTTCGCTCTCAGTGACTCTGTGAGGTTACACATATTGATCTAAATTTGGGCGGTAAAAGGACAGATGAGGTTTGGGTAGTATGCTTCATACACATGGACCAATCTAAAGAAATTAGAAATACCAAAAAATGGTTTGATTTCTGTTTTTAAACTATGATAAAAAAAAAAAAAAACATTTTTACTCAGAAATGACTACATTTCAAAAATAATTACAAAGAAATGTCAAGTAACATGAAATTAAACATGACATTTTGAAGTAGAAAGACAGAAGGAACTATTTTCTTGTAAAACATACTCCAATGACCTTTTGTGTTATTTACAACTTCAAAAAGGTTTGGTTTTGTTGCTCTAGTGTGCTTGCATGAAGTCAGTGGTAGAGAACCTGTATTGCTTTGGCAGATCAAGTATCCTACTCCATCATGATATGAAATGCTAATGCTGTAACTGTTACCAATAAGCCATAAATGGTGGAACTGAGATGATTACAGGAGTTTTGGCTTGTTTTAGGGATCGCTTGATCGTACCTTCTGCTCAGCGCCGAAGGAGAGGTTCTGGAGTCGAGAGGTCATGAGGGTCAGACTCTGCTCAAACGCTGCCACCAGGTTGGCCTGGAAAAAAAAAAGAATCCATTTATTCGCATTACATGTGACCATGATATAATCAAGATAATATTAAATAATAATTGGAATGTTAAAGAAAAATACACACGGCCGTTCAAATGTTTGGGGTGTGTTCGATTTTTTTATGTTTTTGAAAGTCTCTTATGCTCACTAGGGCTGCATTCATTTGATCGAAGTAAAAATGTGATATTGTGAAATATTGAAATATTTTGAAATGTAATTGTGATGCAAAGCTGAATTTCAGTCTTCAGTGTCACATGATCCTTCAGAAATCATGATTATTATCAATGTTGAGGTTTGCTGCTTAATTATCTTTGTGGAAACTGATTTTTTTTTTCAGGACTCTTTCATGAATAGAATAACCTTTGAAACAGTGGTTTACATACAAAATAGAATAGAAGTGTCATATGTGTTTGACAGTGTACACTTACATTAGCAGACAGCTGTGAGGTCAGATTGGCCACCTTCTCCTGTGAAGACTCCAGCTCCCTCCTCAGCTTACGGATTTGCTGTGAAGAACCGCACAAAGTTATTAACCAACAAAGAATTCATGACATAAAGCTGCATCAAATCGAAAGGAACAGTTCACCCGAAAATGTGAATTCTGTCATCATTACTCTTCCTCATGGTGTTCCAAACCTGAATTTGTTTGTTGCGAATAAGAGAAGGACATGTTAGGCTGCTCTTTTCCATACAATGATCGCAAATGTCAACTGAGGACCTTCAAGCTCCAGAAAAACGACAAAACAGCACAGTAAAAATATCATAAAAGCCCACCATAGTCCATGTAACACTATTTTTCAAGTCCTCTAAAGTAATATGATAGCTTTATACGAGAAACGGTCATTAATTGACTGAAAATGTTCTCTAATAAAGCTCTCTAAAGTTCATATGGGCTACTTTTATATTGTCATTTTTGAGCTTGCCATTGAATTTCACTGAATGATTAAAGCAGAACAGAGCAGAAAAAACTCATTCTGCTGAATGTCTGCTTTTGTGTTCCATGGAAGAAAACAAATCATACAGGATTGTCTGCAGGAGTAAATGATGACAATTTTCATTTTTGGTGAACTATTCCTCTAAACGATCACGTTATTTACTTTGACATAAATCTGAAATGTTTCTCCTAAATTACAGTATTACAGTCAGACTGAACTGCTGAAGCTCCAGGAACTGAAGCTCACTGCAGCTGCTGGAAAGCTGTGACAGATGATATTTAACACTCCCAATAGCAACTGTATCTGTTTATATTTTCTCTATTTGGAACAGGCTGATAAACTCTATATATGCAACTGAAGACAACAGAAAGACAAATGGTGAGTATGTTCACATACTATGATGCACGGCAGACCAGAACGACACACACGATGAGTAAAATCAGACTCACTTCAAGCCTTCAGGCTTGGAATGCAAAACTTCAAGTACATCTCTTAGAGATTTTTGGAAGTAACTCGGTGAGACACCTTCGTTTTGCATCCATAGATCAAGTAGACAGACTCATGAAACAACGAAAGCCTATTCCCACCAGGATATGAAACAACAGCACCGCAACCACGATATACTAAATCTAGACAACGCAATGTGCCAAGTCTAAAAAAATCATACTGCAGTGATACTTTTTTTTTTCATTTGAAAGGATTATTATTATTATTATTTTTTAATTGTTTGGATACTGTTTTTTATACTTTTTTTTATAAATGAATTTAAACTCAGCAATTCAATAAAATTATATACTTATATTTTCTTAATTGTTTGGATGCTAAAGATTTTTTTTAATTAATATAAATGATAGATATCTAGGTTTCATATAAAATGACAAACTTGTCCATTTACTATTTTAAACCGGCAATTAAACCGATTTTTTATTCTGAACCAAGGTAATTTTCTTAATTGTTTGGATGTTGTTTTATTCATATAAATGAAAGATAGCCAAGTTCCATATAAAATGACAAATGTGGCAATTTATTGCTATTTAAAATTTTAATTCACCAATTAAATAAAATGATATTTTTTATTCTGAAGCAAGGTCATTTTCTTAATTGTTTATGTTGAATAAAATGTTTGGTCTTCATTTAGATATCAAAGCATTTCTCATAAAAAAGCCTTGTCAAGAGTACAAATATTTGAATTACTAAATTATTTTGAATTATATCATATTTTATTTCTTATTCTATTTTTATTATTTGGTGTTTGTTTTATCCCATCTGATGTGAATAGGCCTTCACATTATAGTTACGAAACACAGAAAATGGAGGAAATTATAAATAACAACATGTAACACGTGGTTAGCTACTCGTTTCCTTAAGTCATGATTGAATGAAACATCAACTTGACAAAAACACAGCAGAGGAATCTCATAACAGCCTTATGGACAGCTAATGGCAGTTAACGGCTTTGAATCAATGTGTTAGTTCATCAGCTCCTAACATTAGCTGACTTGAGCTGTTATAATCTCTGAGAACATGTATGACAAAAACAGGTTATTAATATGACTGTAATTAACTCCTGAATGACAGAGAGGGAAAATCAGAGAGAGAGAAAGACACTCACCTCACCCTGTATTCTCTCCTCCGCCTGAGAGAAGCACGGAAGAAAAGAACGACAGATAGATAGTAAGATGCTAAAGAAATGGAAGTTCATAGTGATGAAAAACAGAAATACAACTGATAAAGATCTAAGACAGGGCTGCATGATTTGGTCAAATTATTTTGACAAATATTGTGCTTTTGAATGGCAACATAATAAAGATTTAAAGCACTCACAGTGCTTTGATGTCAAAGCTAAATAAATAAATAAACATAAGTGTGTTCACACTTGTTCTCTTTAAAGGAACTAAATTGAGACCACTTTCAGCTGACTTGAAAATCTGTGAAAAAAAAAAAAAATTATATTAGGATGTGTTCACACTTGGCATGTTTGGTTCGATTAAAACGAACTCTGGTGCGACTGCTCTGTTAGTGCGGTTCATTTGAGTAAGTATGAACGCTGCCATCCGAACCCTGGTGCGCACCAAACAAGCGGACCGAGACCGCTGAAAAGATGGGTCTCGGTCCGCTTCCAAATGAACTCTGGTGAAGTTCGTATCAAATATGAACGCAACACGGACCAAATACTTCTAAACGAACCAAAAACAGGAAGTAATGACAAGATGCGACATGATTTGATGACTCTGTTAAACCAAAACAAAATGAGCAGAGGGCAAACGTGGAGCAATGATGAGGTAAAGTGCCTTTTATGAGCTCCTTGTGAGTTTGCAGGTGAAGAAAATAAAATATGTACACGCAAGAATGAGAGCGCTTAGTCCAGCAGATGACATTAGGTGTGTTCAACTTAAAACGGTTAATGGATGCTTTGATATCATACACCCGCAGCGCTGCTTTAAGTCTAACGCACCTTTTGTTTGGGGTGTTCGGTGAGTTCCGTCACGATATATACGTCATTCAAGCCGACCAATCAGGTTGTGAACGTATCACTATGTCTTTAGGTTCGGTGTCTTTAGGTTCGCTGTCAAAAATGCCAATGTGAACGCTAAGCGGACCAGGACCAAATGCATCATTTCCCTTTCTGGTTCAGACCAAATGAACCAAACGAACTGAACTACAAGTGTGAACACACCCTTAGATTGATTTTAAAATAGACTTGATTTTAATTTAATTAATTTTGCAGCCCTAGATAGCAATGACATTAAATGTGTTTTTAATAAATCATTGCTAAATTGTTTCACTATTTACATGCCATATGGGTTAAACAGCTGTGTATGTACTTATGAGTGAATCAGAGAATGAAATACATATTTGACACATTTTTATTTTTAAATATCGTTGTTTATACTGTGGGGTGGGAATCTGTTTTTTTGTACAAAAACAGGTCTGTTCTTTATCCAGGCTATAGCTCACATCAGCACCCAGTCATGTGCAGCAGTTCAAGTAACAGCTCCATTTTCAGTAAGGAAAGCAGAGAGCGCTTCTTCAACTCTCTTTGCTGTGAGGCTCCAATAAATCAGCAGGAGCAGACAGGCAGTTTCACTCGTGACAGTCTAGCGCTGTACGGCATGTGTGTGAAGCTCTGGAGGGAAGAAAAGTGCTGGGATACTTACTGAGGAGTAGCTGGAGGAGGCATTAGACGCCAGTGAGAGCACTGAGCCATGAACTGCAGGTGGAAAAAGAGAGAAATACACAAAAGTGTGAGTTTAAAAGCATTAAAATACCTAAATCCTACATTGCAGCAAATTCAGTTTATTTATCGTACATATCCTGCGTTGTGTTTTACCATTTGTTGAGTCACATTTAGTTTACAGAGCTATGTTTTAGCACAAAAATAGTTAGAGTCATTTTTGCAGACAGTTTGATTCAAAGGCGACGATAGTAATATTTTGTCCATTGTGGGATTCTTGCAACCTTTGCCAGTCCAGATATTTCATCTGTACACCTCATGTAGACTGTAACATATGAACCCAGAGTCTCACCGTCATCGCAGGCTTCTCTGTCTCTGAAGGAGCCGGATCGGATCATGCTCTTGGGTCGCTCGGCGAGTGATAGGGTGCTGCCCAGAGGAGAGCCCTGATACAGCTCAAAACTGGCCTCGTGAGTGGGGATGCTGTTGGATCTGGTCATTCTTGGCGTTCCTGAGGTGGGGCTGGGTGCTACTGCACATAACAGACAGCAGAGGGAGACAGAGGTTATATATGATATAAAGCACAGTAACATTAGATAAAGGTGCCCTGCATACTGCCTGTAAAATCAATTAATGTAAATGCAATTTTATAAAAACTTTTTTTTTTTTCAGAATTTATTGTTATAAACAAAAAATAGCCATTTATTCTGTTTCTGAAATATATTTCAAATTATGATAGTTGAATGTTCTAAATGTTAATCAATGCTGTCTTTAAAATATATATTCTTTAGAATATTTTTTTGGTCAAAGAGAGTGTAAATAACTGCAAGAAATGTTTAAAGAAACCATATTTTTACAGCGATCAAAATAATAATACTTTATCTGTGTATGAGTGTATGTGTTTGTGTAATATATGTTAATTATACATGTAATTTTTATTTCAAAAAAATTTCAAGTATATTATTAAAAAATTATTATTTTTTAATTCTCAATTCTTTTCAACTCAAAAGTATGCATATTTTATATTTCTAAAAAACCCTTTTACTTATAAAATATTTACAAGTATTTACAATAAAATACAAGTATTTTATAAAAAATAATTTT